TTGATAATTAAAATTGATATCTAAACTAAACGAATGGTTTTATCGAAACAATAACTAATTATCCAAAACTATAAAAGTTTTAATAATGACACTACAAATATTCAACACAGTTTGCAAAGATAGCTGAAACTGCGTATGATATTTGCATTTGTAACGTTAATGCTCGTCACACGTGACATTTGGACAAGCGCACATATGCATATTACTTATAAACTGAGCTGAGTTCGTGCCACTGCTCGGTGGTACGTAAATACTTGTTTCACCTGAATAAATATACGTTTATTAATTTATGTTTTATAAAGAAACTGATATTGAGTCAATTATAAAAAAAATTCACAAATTTTACATACAAATTTTACATTAGGTACGTGTGATTTGCGTATTGAGAACTGTTTTTTTTCCGACCCTTCCGATTCGGATCGACCCCCATTCGCCCCCCTGTCTCAGATCGACCCCTGCTTTTGTTAAATAGACCCTTGGGGGTCTATATAGACTACTTTGGCGACCTCTGGTGTAATCCATCACTTTTTGTATGTAAAAATTATAAATACAGTAGCCATTGAATTTAAAATTTTATTTTTGTTATAAAAGACCATTTTTTTACTTTTATAATAATATAAAGAACAAAATTAAATAGTCAAATTTTTTCTTCTTCCATTTTTGGTATATTTTTCTGAAATATATGTCACTGTTAAGGGATTAATTGTAGATTAAAATATTTTTCATGAACTAAGATGCAAATAAAAAGAAAAATAATGAGTTTTAAATGGCATGTTACATACAGGAAACTGTTTGACTACGCATTAGTCCTTCAGTTTCATAATTCTTAATGTCTGATATTTTTTTCACCGTCACATTTAATATGTTCTCTATTGATATAACTTACAGGCAATTTAATACATACAGTGGAATGAATTGAGACTATTCCTGTTCGGCTAAGTGTTGTTTAGTTAAAGATTGAAGCCATTTTACTAATTTGAATTGTATTCTTATATCTGTACACGAATCATCAAAAAGTGTTAAAAAATAATTGTTGAATGTTATATTTCTGCCACAGCAATAATTTCGTTCTTATTACAGACTTTACATGGAAAGTATTATTTTTCATTTGTCTTGTTAAAGATTGAAGCCATTTTACTTATTTGAATTGCATTCTGATATGTGCACACGAATCATCAAAAAGTGTTATAAATAATTGTTTAATCTTATATTTCTGAGATTGAAATAATTTCGTTCTTCTTACAGACTTTATATGGAAAGTATTATTCTCTATGTATTGAGAGGAGGTGAGTACATTATTCGAACATTTTCTAAGTACGTTTGAGTTTTTAAAAAACGATAAATGATTTCAAGTGATGTATTATTTAATTTAAGTTCTAAATCAATTAAATTCTAAATTAAATAAATATAATTTTTACAATTCTTAAAAAAAGGGTAGCTAATTATTAAGGTATAAACTTTTGATTTTCGAGTAGTGACTGTTGATCAGTTAGAGGCGATATAGAAGTACAAAAGGGTTAAAATTTTCATTAATTATTTAAGCGATGAAATTAACAATAACAATTGTAATGTAATTACAAAAGGCTTGGTATATAGGAAAATTTTGTTTGTAAAAGAACACGCATCGTTATATCTTCTTCTTCTTTATTTAAATAAACTGGGCGGCGAAGCGGCCCCTATCCCATTCATCATTAAATTATATCCCATTCATCATTCATCATTATACATTGATTTGCCAAACATTGTGGTAGCCATAAAAAAATCAAGCCGTTTGAAATAATAAAACAATGAAAAAACTCAATATGACAAATTGACGTTTTTACATAACATTACAAATATTGATTGTAGACTTAAATTAAAAATAAAGATAAAACATGATTTGATATGTACAATAATTGATTTTTGAAAAATGAAAGACGTAATTGATGAATATAGATAAATCATGCCTTGATACATGATAAAATAACATATTTGGAGAAAATGCAGTAAATATATTTTATCAGAGAAATATTGCTCATTAAATACAATAGAATTTGCGAAAGAATTTAACGTGCATAAGTTGATAAATATATGTGCATAAATTGGCTATATTATCAGAAAATAAAATTTAATGCATTTTAATTTAACTTAAGTAAAAATCTGCTGTGAAAAGTTCAGTGAATTTAACTTGAGAGTCTTGAAAATGAAAATAGAACTCACTGGGATTGAGATGTTTCCCCGATGAGCTTCATTGTATGAGGCTAAAGGTACATTTACACATATATATTTTTTTAAAAAGTTGTGGAACATTTATCTTTAATTGTATTTATAATATCAGATGCATAGCTTAGTTCTGTCAGATATTTACGTTACAAGTTTGAATCTGTATACACATGCTCTTTTATGTCGTATATGCCAAGTCTCTTTAAGCTAAAGCATTACCATTGAATTAAAGGATAAATACCGTACCAATCTTTTTTAGAAAAAAAGCCTTTTCAGATTATTATAAAAGTAGGTGTTCAAGAAAATGGAGAAATTTTTTCGTTAAACCTTGCTTGCTGAAATATTTTAAACAATTACTGTTACATACCTGCCAACTTTTAATCCTTTCAAGGATGATACTCCCCAGTGGTAGTAAAATGAAATGTAAATTATAATTTTAGGCAGAAACATTTGCTGTATTATGAACAAGCTTATGCGGATTACTAGAACAGTATTACATATTAATGTATATGCTTAATTTTTTTAAAAATAGTGGTGAATTTTAAATGCAAGGAATATATAGAAAGCGTACATTTTACTACCACTTTAAATGTAGAAATAAAATTTTACGCCAAATGCGTAAAAGTTGGCAGGTATGCTGTTATTGCATTATGCATTTCAGAAAATGAGCATGACTGTGAAAAAATAATTATTTTAGCACTGAAATACATTTCGAGTTTGCCAAAGAAAGTTAAAATTTAATTAATGTTGAAGTTTCAGATACTGAAAAGAAATTTTTAAAATATCAAAATGAAAATAATTTATGAGAGGATAACTTAGGAATGGAGAACGCGATGGGAAAGTTCTCTTCTGATAATTTCAATTTTTTTTCTAGCTTCGTGGCTTACTCCTGGTTTGCTTGAACTCATTTTTTCTCTGTTTTATAAATTTTAAATATGTTATGGTGGTAGAACAGAGATGCCAACTTGCTCCGGACAGCAAATATATATTTTCAAGTGGTAGTTTATCAATTGTGTTTCTTGGTTTAATAAATATACCTTTCAAAAAGCAAGCGAAAATAGTAAAATATTTGAAAAATTTACTTTGTAGCTATTTACCGTTCTTTTAATTATTTTGGCTTGTCCGGAGCAGTTGGCATCTTTGGTAGAATATGCGATCGAAATTTCTCCAGCCGTATGGAGTCCTTTTTAAGACTGAGGGTCGATTATTAGTGGCGACTTGAAGAGTTACTCATTGATATGAAGTGACCAAATTTCATATCAATGAGTAACGCTTAACCTAGGAACTCGTAAAGGCGACTTGTGCGTAATGCCACAATAATGCCGTTGGTCACTACATTATGATTGCCCAGACCTGGTAGAGGTAATGCATTACTTGTAATTTTGCCAAAATTACTTTATTTTATTGTGTATTATGAAGAGAAAAGTATATTTTTAAGAAAACATTTTTCCTTATGCTGAAAAAATCATTATTAAAATTTGCCTAAAGATTAAATTCCTTTAAATTCAAAACATTTTGTCCCAAAATTGCATGAATTAATTTAAAGACAAAATTAAAAATTGAGATTGTTTTGCTGTTACTAAATATTATTGTTTCTTTTAACTTTGCCACGAATACTTTTTATTGTAATAATATTTTTTTTAAAAATTTTAACTGGAACACTTTCCTTCTTTAAGTTCATACAAAATTTGTTCATTTTATTATATTTTCTATTTTAAAGCTTAAAAAAAAGAAAATTGATTACAAATGATCTTTAATCCGTTATAGATCACAATTATGAGAGTTTTGAAACATTTTTTATCATAAAAAGTTTTAATGATTTGAACGATACACGGATATATCAAAACGAATGTGAGAAAAAAGGTCCAGGTGAAAAAAAAAATACCAACGTAGAGAAAAATTTTTGAAATGAGAAGATGAGATTGAAGCGCCTTTTCGTTGCTTTATTTAAGATCAAATTCCTACTGTTACACTGACTCAATGTGTGATTTTTATGTTTCCTCTCTATGATATTTATTCATTAAAAATTCATTAAAGTTGAATATAAAAAAATATTCATTACAAATCTATTTTTAAGTTAGAGTAATTTAAGAATTAAATTTTATTATTAAAATTATTATTCAACAGCAAAAAATAATATATTTTAAATTAAGAAAAAATATTTTATATGTAGGGAAAAATTTAATTTTTAAATTTAAATTTATTTATTGAAAATTTATTAAAGTTGAATATAAAAAAATATTCATGAAAAATGTATTTTTAAATTAGTAAAATTTAAAAATTAAATTTTATTATTAAAATTATTTTTAAATAACAAAGAAAAACATATACATTAATTTAAAGAAAAACATTTTATATGAACTCCTCTTAATTAACAAAGAAAAAAAAAATGCGTATCGCTCAAAAGTGTCCTTTTTTTTTAACCTCAATTAGCTAATCTAAATATCAACTCCTACAAAAAAATAATTTTAAAAAAATTAACATGCCTTCCAAAAAAAAAAAAAAAAAAAAAAAAAAAAAAAAAAAAAAAAANAGACTCCACCTCAAAAAAAAAAAACAAAAAAGTAAACCCTCCTCCTAAAAAAGAAAGAAAAGAAATACGTCTCACTTTAAGTACCTTTTCCTATATAGTCTCGCCGTTGAGTTACTTTTTTTTAATCGGCACCCTATTTACGATATCTTTTTTCCAGGGACCTTAAGGTATCGGGGAAAAGACTCCCTGGAATTTTTTCCAGGGACTCTTTTCCCAGATATCTTTTTATCAGGACCCTTTTTACTTCTACTTTGAATAGAAAATTCGATTGTTATACTTTTCTCAGAAAATGGAAACCTGATAACTTTTTTTATTTTATTCATCACTATGTTGGCAAGTGCAAATTTAAACAAATCCGTAATATACCAATATTGCTTTTCCGTGAAATATTTGATTTCATTAGGTATTCGTTGGAGAAAAAAAAATTAGCTTCTAAAGCTTTTGAGCTTGAATTCATCTCTTGAACCAATAGAGAGAAAAACTATTATTTCGTAAAAGGTGATGCAAATGAAAAAGTTTCTTAAAAGAAATTATTTAATTTAAAATATTTCATTTGAAAAATTTTTTTAAAAATTGTTATTCCATTGTCAATATTTTGAAAAGTTCCTTAAAAATGTCCCTTATTAACATCAAGGGATATGGATTCTTCTGCGTATAGTTACCTTTTAATTTAGTTTTAAACAGATAGAGAGTTATAAAATTATTTAATTTTTGAATTAAAACTGTATTATTACTTTTTTTATTTCAGACGGAAGCTTAACTTCAGTTGTGTAAGTATATTATTTTCTATTTCCGTTACTTATATTTTTATAATATTTTTTTTCAGTTCAGACATTTTTTTTCACATTATGACTTAAATATATAAATCAACACAAAGTTTTATTCCTTTAATACTTAACGGCCGAATTTATTTAAAAAGTCCCAATTTGGATATCTGATTTTTTTAAGAAGAGCAACACAGTAACACAGTTTTGATAATTAAACTTTTTTGAACTATTTAAAATGTCTGTGTCTAATATATTGTATTAATTATTTAAAAATGTCTGCATAATACACAAGAATGGGTTCCACAACCAGGAAAATAAAAGTGATTGCTAAGTTTTATCAAAGCTACTGAAAAATATTTAAATACTGCATTTCAAATAAGCTTTGCACAAATAGTTTCTTTTCACGATATTCATATACATGCTTCCTTAAAAATGAAATTTTTTGGTACACGTGAGCAACTTAAATTATTTATTTTTTTCTCTTTTTTCTACCTCTTTCAGTTTTCTAGATCGTGACTATCTACATTAGCTCCACTATACGGGACGCTAATTTACAATCCAGCGACCTTTAACGACTAGTTCTCTTTTTTTGGAGATTTTTTTCTCTAAATTGTAATTTGTTGCAATTATAATGCAAGCTTTTATTTCTTTCAAAATTTGTTGTCTGTGGAAAAAAAAGCTAAGAATCAAGGTTTTTTTTATTTAAGAAAATGCCGAACAGGAGAGCTGGCCGTTAAACGCCGCTGGATTGGAAAATCGCACACGTGGCTAAACTTGCTAAAAAGTCATTCATTACAACCCCCAGGTATATCTAAAGCCAAAATAAAATTAATTTAATATCTAAGCCTTATTGGAGAATATATATATATATATATACATATACAAATTTGTAATAGAGCATAGAAAGACATTTTGAACTCAAATCAATATATTTGAAAATATTTATTCATTTTAGTTTGTTTGATAAATATTTTTCAATTTGTTTTATTTTATCAAAAAAATTTTTTATTGTCAGCTTTATTTGTGTATTGAGATGCAGTCCTGGTAGTTCTACCAATGACTGGTGATGGAAGTTAGGAATTATTTCTTGAGATTTGAGAAGTGTTTTTTGTTTCTAAAAGAAAGGAAAGATTCATGATTAGATTAATGAAATCCATTCTTTTTCTTAAGAAATGAAAATTATCGCCTCCAAATCTGCAAACAACATCCATTCTACCAACATAATGCATAACACTGCTATTTTTCATGCATCTAAAAATAAATAAAAACTTCACTAGCACAAAGTCGTCCTCTCTGATGGAATCAGTGATGTCAAGAACTTTCCCATTAATTTTAATTGATCTGATATCGTTGCGGAATTAAAAAAGAAGAAAAACTTTTAAATAAACTGATGCTAACTTTTAAATTAATAAAAAATTGACTTAAAACCAGGTCAGCATTTTACTACGCTTTTTGTAAAATATTTTATAAAGTGGTAGATATTAAAAAAAAAAAAAATCTAAGCTTGCTGAATTTTGCCAACATTTTAAAAGTCTCACCACGTAAGAGTTGGAACAAAGTGGTGTTGCATATGAATTTTTCAATCATTTATATGTAGTGGTGCTGAAAATAAGTTTAAATGAATAAAAAATGATACATTAAAACATAAACTTAGCCACCACTAGAATAAATTTTTACAAAAAGAATAGAAAGTTTGCAGTCCTGCTTAAAGCATGTCCACAACAATTGTTTTACCAAAATTTGTCTACACTAGTCCTAACGAAGACATTTTTGTTTATGCCCTGATGTTGATTAATTGAAATTATACAGTTGTTATTTTAGGTAGATAAAACACAGTATCACTTATAACATATCATCTTTAGTAGAAATTTTGAAAATAAAAAATATTAATAAGAGAATAGTTATTAATAAGCGAATAATTAATTTTGCTTCTTATAAACCTTCTTTTACAAATTTCGAAAATATTTGCAGTGTGATTATGCTACTACACATGGAAGTGTTCACCACTGTTGTCAAGTTACAATATCTTACAGAGGAGATTTGAGAAATACATAAAAGAATTACTCATGATGTCCCCTTTAGTTAAATGTCCACACGAGCCCCCTTCTAATTTCTAAAACTTGTCAATTTGTTTCGAATCATCAGACCATAAATAAATAGTATGGTTACATTATCAGAACATAAATAAATAGTATGGTTACATTATCAGAACATAAATAAATAGTGTGGTTAGAACATAAATAATAGTATGGAAATAAATAGTATGGTTTAATTTTATATTACTGATTAAATAATTTAATTTAGAATGATATTGTACCTCACCACATATGCGAAAAACTTGAGCGCATTTATATAAAACCTATTTATTTAGTGTAGAAGTGTTTAAATGCGAGCCAAATTATGTAAATCAACTCATATTGTTTTTTGGTTACTGACGAGACTTATTAGTTGACAGTTAGGACGTACTTGATAAACTTTCCGTTGCCAATTATTTAAATTGAAAATTTTACTGTGAGTTATTCTTCTATGTTTTACTTCTATGTATTTTATGACGTCAATTTCTTTACTTTTACAGTCATGCAGCCAAATTGATTAGGGATCATTTAAGGCAAAGAAGTAAGTCAAAATTTTTATCATGATTTTTTTTTTTTTGCAATAGTGGGTCAGAATATATTGCTTTTAGTATTAAGAACAAAAACTGAGCAATTTATAAAGTAATATAATTTTTGTTTGTTGATTAATTTAAATGACACTTGTAATTTTTTTTTCATTTCATGAATTATCAGTTTTGTATTATGATATCTAGAAAATTCAACGCTAACAGCAAATTCTTAAGTAGGAATGCTTTTGCCTAGAAATTTATATGCCCTGGCATGTTGCTCCTAAATTTTGGATGCCTCTAAAATTTTGCAATTAATATTTTCTTCTTTTAAAAATTGTGTATAAGAATTGCGCGTAAACAAAAATTTAAATATTTATAAATACAAGATTGATTTTTGAAAAAAATGCGGTTTGGCATATGTTTTAGATCATTAGGTTAGAATTATTTTAGAATGGATATTTATTTAATTCATAGCATTTAAAGGGAAATAAATAAGTACCCTAAAAAGACAATTGATTTTAAAAATCGATTAAAGAAAAACGGGGGGAGGGGAAACCTCATGGGGAGGGTAAAAATCTTTGCCAAACAATATTTAATGCATTAATTTAGCAACTTAATAAGTTATAATTATTAATAATTATTGTTGTAGTTGTAGTTCATTTACGTCGCACTAGAGCTGCACAATGGGCTATTGGCGACGGTCTGGGAAACATCCTTGAGAATGATGCGAAGACATGCCACCACAATTTTGATTCTCTGCAGAGGGGGTGGCACACTTGCTTCGATAGCCCGACGACCTGCACGCGAAGTCGAACACTTTACAGTAGAACAGTTTAACGAGGACCAATACCGCACACCCTCGGTCCCTACGCAGACTAATCCAAGTGGTCACACACCCGCACACTGACCGCAGCCAGTGATGCTTGACTTCGGTGATCTGCTGGGAACCGTGTCTTAACGATCAGTCCACTGCGGGACTATTAATAATTATAACTAATTAAAAATAGACTAACACGTTGAGCACCGCTTCAGCCATCGGTGGCTGACACTGGACTTTCCGTTTAGGCTGCGTCAACCACCGATGGCTGACACTGAAATTACATTTAGGCTGCTTCTGCCACCGCTTACTGACACTGACCTTTCACATAGGCAGCGCGAAAAACAGCTGGCTGACAGCGTATAACATAATATAGAACTATAAAATTTGCTAATTGCAGAAAATGTATTCAAAATTTACTTAATTATTGTGATTCTTAGTTTAATAAATTCAATTTTGTAGATTTTTATCCACCACTATTTTTAAACAATTCGTAGGCTTATATAATTCACCACTTTTGTCAGATATGTCATGATAAACCATCTAAAAAAAAGCAAAATCCGTCTAATATTTGCAAATTTAGTTTGTAGTTTTGTAAAATTAGCGTGGCTCTAAACGTGTTAACTAACAACATATAAATAATAATAGTAAAGAGTAGTCTCTTACTAATAAATAAATTTAATTGATTTCAAAATGGCCGTTTTTCGAGCCATGCAGGGGCGCAAACGGTTATGAAATTTTCAGCAATGGGACGCAAGTCAGCGAAGAAAGAAATTCCTTTTCACTGATGAGAAGCTCTTTATCGTCGAACAAGATGTTGTAGACGACTACAGACATTGGACAAGCGGCAAAACACTTGAGGACGTTAAAATAAATTGTACCAGCGGGACAATCTTGAACATGTTGTACTCCTTTGGGATAGAAAGCATTTCTGTAATGTGAACTGGATGTTTCAACAAGACTCCGTACCAGCTCTCAAGGTTAGAAGACATAAGTGTGATTTTGTTGCATTTTCCGGTCATGATTTCATCTGAAGAATGGCCACCCTACTCACCAGATCTCAATCCAATGGATTACAGAATAAGGTTTATTTTGGAGTCTTGTGCCTGCATTAAACTACACAAAAATTTGGATTAACTAAAGCAAGAGATATTCATCGGGAATGGAATAGATTCTAACAGCAGTGGTTCGAAAACATGCAGCCCACCGCTGAGAATTTCGAAAAGCGTTTGGTTTTCTGCAACGTTGCAAAATAAAATGTATTTATTTATGCAAAGTAAATTTACTTATTAGCAAAAGTACACTCATCTAATTATTAGTCATATGTTGTTCATTTATTTATTTTTAATAATGTTATATAAAAAACTGCTTGCTTGGCTTTTTTTGGTCTTACACTGTATATTTTCATTTTAATTTATAATTGTCATTGACCAGCTTACCCAATTCGGGTATATACTCTTAGATACTTTTAGTAGTACAAAATATACCTTTTTAAACTGATTAGCCTTGTAATTTTAAACCCAATCCAGAACACAAGGAAACTTCTTGATCAAGCATTGGGACAAACTAGCCTTCCTGGAGGACTCTTTTTTATAATACTAACGCACATTTGCGTTACATGTAGAGGAAAAACACGAAAATCCTCCAGGAATAGCATGAGGGTAAAGGAACTCTAAGCCATGATCCGTCTATCACTGAGGATATTTTACGTAAGCACTGTGGTCGGTGTGAGCCTGGAGCAGAATTCGTATCAACCAGCCACCGCTGGGATTCAAACTTGGGCCTATCTCATTGGGAAGCGAGCGCTCTACGAAAATGTGTAATAATGCAAAATACTTTAGGAATGTTTTTGTAATGCTAAGGGGGAAGCTGAATTTAAATTAATTTTAGTGGTCTAGATCAGTGGCCCCCAGCCTTTTTATCGCCGCGTACCGATCAACGTTTGATAATTTTACCACGGCCTGTCGAGGAGAGAGTGAGGGATTTTGATTATTTATGTTATTGATTGTTTTGATTTAATAATTTTAAATTAATTGAATGTAAACATGTCTTCAAAATTAAATACAAATAAATGCGTGGTATTGGTGCTGTTTTATGTGACGTCTGTTAGTTCCTGGTTAACCTCTCGTCCATGGAAAGTCGTTCAAACCCGAGAGAAATACACTACAGCAAAAAAAATGGAAATAATTTAATGTTTCTTAGTCGGCCTGGTACCATCTGATCCACAGACAACTGGTTCAGAGAATTCTCAGCTACCACTTATTGGTTCGATTTTTCTCTGCAACTCNTTCATTTTAATTCACTGGGAAAAATGATAATGGAAGGGATTAAAAGTTGGCAGGTATGAGGTTAACCTCTCGTCCATGGAAAGTCATTCAAACCCGAGAGAAATACACTACAGCAAATGAAATGGAAATAATTTAATGCCTCCTATAACTGACAGTCTCCACACGGTATTTTATAGGTAGTCCGATTAGACCACGATTACCGAACGAGTAATTTAATACAGAATAAAGTTAAAATAAGAAAGTGGTAGGAAATATATGACTAAAATTTATTTTATTTATGAATATTATTGGTTTGCCTTATTCACTTGTCTACCACTACAGATTCAATTCTCAAATATATAAGATAAATTTCTCTCAATTACTTTAAGAACGGGGCCTCCCTGGCCGAGCGGTATCGTCGGTCCAAACGCTCTGTTAAGCGTGGAGGTAGCGGGTTCGAATCCCGCCGTAACCCTGGATGTATTCTTTGTGATGTCTTTCTCTGAATTGTTCTATCTGTACTTTCCACTTGACAATGACTTATAAGCCTATATTGAGCACATAAGTCAGCAAATGTATGTAATTTCAATAATAATACTTTTAGAAACCCGGAAGACGTCCACAGAAACTTCTCTGTGGCCCTACCTTTTTCTAAAGACAATATTCCAGGTGCCCACGGGCATCATCTTCGATGAAGCAGTGTAGTGTCCGCTTCGCGGACAGGTACTGCGTAAATTACTTCAGTTCAAGTTCAAGTTCTTTTAGAAAAGGTTTTGGGTTCCTGTGCACAACTTGCTCACTTTTTAAACAGTCTGCGCCGACTACTTATAAAAGACCGTGTGAAGGCTTCTTGATGTAGGAGGTGATGGCCTGGTACCATCTGATCCACAGCCCGGGGGTTGGAGACAACTGGTTCAGAGAATTCTCAGCTACCACTTATTGGTTCGATTTTTCTCTGCAACTCCGATTATGTTAGTCAATTTAAAATAGTAAAATTTTTTGGGGGCATTTATCTATTCATCATTAATTTAATTCCTTTATTCTCAAAGCTGTAAGAAATGTTTTTTATAGTGGTTGAAATTTTAAATTATTAGTATATACAAAAAAAAAGGGGGAAATATTTTTTGTAATGTTCAGTGGGAAGCTAAATTTTAGCTCTTTTAGAAATTAATTTTTTCCAGGTCATAACCTGATTTCCTAAACCTGATCATATAGTAGTAGTTTGTATTTGTTTGTTATTATTTTGGATTCTAAAAATTCTGATTGAATTCTTTTTATGTAGCAAAAATTATAATTGTTATCTTGTGTTTCTTAAATTCAGAGGAAGATGTGCTTATCAGTTGGTAAATATAATTTTTTTCTGTTATTTTTTTCTATTACTATGTTGTTGTTGTTGTTTCGAATGCCACTTGCACTATCAGCAAGCCTGCTTGGTGAAAGTGGGGCCATCTATGGCGCCGTCCAAAAATACGAGTTCAGTCAGGTTTAGAGGGTGAGACCACTCATACATTCTTTCATTCATCGTAATTTTGACCTGAACAAGAGAACATCCATCTCCGATTCAGTACCCCCAGAGGTGCTTCATGGGAACTTAAAGGACTTCGTGACCCAACAGCTTTAACGTGCGCCAGTCCCCGTTTACTAAATGGGGAGTCTTCAGTGGGAGAGAATCGAACTCATCTCTTGGATATGGCCCCAACGTCCTACGTTAATTACCATTACTCAGACAACTTGCTTAGAAATGTAGATTTATTAATGGGGCTGAGTACAGTAGAGTTTCGCAAATTATATCCCTATATTGCTTCTCAAAACTTAAGTATGAAAAATAATATTTGCAATAATATTCACGAAATTAAAAAGCAAAAACAACTGCTCGTTGAGTAATACAAAAGGAAGACAATATATGCTCTCCAACTGCTAACAGAATTTTCATAGCTTCAGAAAATATTTTTTCAAATAATATCAAAGATTATTAATACTTTAAATAAATAAGAATTAAAATGTAACTTAAGTCACCACTAAATGTAAATTATTCAAACATATATATGTATATAAAAGGACAGTTTAACTAAAGTAGGTGTCTAAAATGTCTTTATTAATTCCTCTAATGATGGAGGGCAAGGCCAATATGAATTATAAATCCGGTGATAAAATTAATTCACACAATACCCGAGCAAATAATGTTTATCAAAAGAGTAATTCAAAAATTATATAAAGCATGAGAATGTGTACATTTCAAACAATTTTTATTTTTTAGATGCATTCTTATTAGTTTTTGTTAATTATAATCTATGGATAATTATATTAATATTATATATATTAATGCTATGTTATTAATGCTATGCTGCAAAATTATCTTTATTAATACTATATATTTTCATTTCAGTGAAAGAATCCGTCGTTCCATTGCAAAAAAATGTAAGTACTCATTTAGTTTTATTTTAATTGCTTAACCCTTCTCTAGAGATTCTTTTTACTGTTAAAAAAACGAACCCAACTACTAAGAGTTTAATAATACAAAAACCATTTTTTGCGCAATTACCATAAAATGAGTTGACCAGCCTCTTCAAAGAATTAATAGCAAAATTTCTAATAGAACATTCGAAAATTCCCCTCTTTGCCTTTTTAAAAACATTATTTCTGTTAGAGAATCTCTGCGAGGGATCTCTGTTCAAAGAATATTAATTTGGAAAGGTAAAGTAGGTAGTTTTCGAATATTATTTTAGAAATTTTACAGGATTTTAGTCTCTTAAGGCATCACCTCCTACATCAGAAAGCCTCCACACGGTTTTTTTTATAAATAGTCTGCGCAGACTATTTAAAAAGTGAACCTGAGGTGCGCATGAAACAAAATTCTATTTTAAAAGTAACCGAGAGAAAGTTAGCGTGTATATTTGAGAATTGGATCTTTGGTAGACAAGTTAATAAGACAAACCAATTATATTCATAAATTAATATATTTTTTAGACGTATATTTGCTATTACTATCTTATTTTTACTAGATATTCTATTAAATGGTTCTTTCGTAAACTATTTAACCTTCATAGTGGTCTGATCGGACTACCTAAAAGAAACCGTGTGGAGGCTTTCAGTTATAGGAGGCGTTGCTTAATGACGATGGTCAGCTTACCATAAAATAAAGAAATTGATGTTGTTGTTCATTTACGTCCCACTATAGCTGCACAATGGACTATTGGTGACGGTCTGGGAAACATCCCTGAGAATGATCCGAAGACATGCCATCTCAATTTTGATCCTCTGCAGAGGGGGTGGCACCCCCGCTTCGGTAGCCCGACGACCTGCACGCGAAGTCGAGCACTTTACGGTAGCACAGTTTAACGAGGACCAATACCGCACACCCTCGGTTCCTACGCCGCAGACTGATCCAAGTGGTCACCCAACCGCACACTGACCGCAGCCAGTGATGCAGACTGCCTGCTGAACTCTTTCACAGTGTAAATCTAATTAATTATACTTGGAACTATACACTAAAGCATAACTTTAGTATCACTAAGCATCACTCAAATTGACATCATTATTTTCAAGTTGAATTTTTAAAGAATTTTATTTTTTCCACCATTTCACTTCTTTTGTGCATGCTGCGTCTTTGAGATGTGAGTGTGAAAAACTCTGGGAATTAATATTTAGATAATTCTTAAAGTTTTTACAACAATTTCTTATTTTTCAGGTCATCCAGATGTAGTTGAAATGTGGTAAGCATGTTTAAAATTTTTCTTTACTTAGTTACCAAAAATTCAACGACTTTCTGTAATTGATTACAGAGAAAAATGGAATTTTTCAATCGTTTTTCAATAGCATATAATTTATTTATTCATTTTTTTTTAAATAAAAGGTAACGTGGTTGTTTTCTTTCAGGATATATTTCGAATCAATTATTACAGCCAAAACTGATATAGGTTAGTATATTAAGCACAATTATTTGAGAACTTCTATTATATATTAAGTACAATAAATTTTTTTCTTCTTTTCCCCTCTACATTTCCAAATAATTTATTTATTTGTTTTTTTTTTAAAGAATAATTTAAAGGGTTGCCAAGACCTGGAAAAATTAAATAATGGTAGCTAAGTTTCCTCAAGGCAACGGAAATTTTTTTAATTAACCTTCATGTAAATATTACAAATACATATTCAGGATCTTTTTTCACATGAATACATACCCTCCAACTGCTACGGAATTTCCGTAGTTTCAGAAATCTTCTTTTCAGACGGTAGCAAAATTAATGTCTTAATATTTAAAAAAAAAATTAATTTTAGCATAACTTGTCCACTATTACTTATAAAAGTGCATGCCATATAGCTAGATTCTTAAGTTCTGATAAAAGTTTTATGAGAGACCCATTTGCTTCAAAAATTTCTACTTTGGTTCGCCACCACTACAAAGAATTATTTTCAAAATCCTCATAAGTTGGAGGGTATGTGAATATATATTTCCTTACACTTGAATGTTATATTATTAAATATGAAATGCTTAAAACACCTATATTTTTCTCAATATTGCTCCACTTTTCACAATTTTCCACATCATGGCAATATGTAATCAATATTACAATATATAACAATATATTACTATATATACTAACCAATATATACTATATATACAAATCAACAATCACTGGCTAGCATACCGTTCTACATTTTTCTGCTATAATAACTCTGAACAATGCAATGTTTATTTTTGCATGTTTTAAAATTTTTCATACGTATTAAAAAATACGAAATGTTTTAGAATATTTTTATCACGAACTTTATATATCTTTTTTATCATGAACTTAACACATCTTTTTTATTTAGGAAATTATAATTATGTTGAAGAACTAAATGCTTGGTGAGTATTTTTCATTGCAAATATGCTAGTAAATATGTATATATTAATGTGTTTAATTCAATATATCAAAAAATCTTACTTTTTATTTTACTTATCGCACTTTGATGGCAGGGACATCATAACTCCAATCTTAAAACACATAAACTTTTACGTACACATCAACGTTTTTTAATTATGTTTTGTCATAATAATGGTACTTATATCGATTGTTTTTAATTATTTTTCCAAATAAAAAACTATGTATTGAAATTAATAAAACATGTAGTCATCTTTTTTCTTTTTTTAAAATCATGACTCATTATTAATCAGCTTGTAAATTCACAATAAGGTCTGTATAATATGCTGTTCTAAAAAGTCACAATGCCGTATATATATATATATATTTAATTATACTTGGAACTA